TATATCTCTGCGCATGCTCGCGTCAAGGTACCCTTGGTTGGGAAGTGGTCTATACTCAGATGACTGGATCGGGAGTATTGGTGAAGGCGAGGACGTATTGAAATGAACTTCATGTACTCGGCGGGAGTTCGATTGTGTATCCGCGAGGGATTAGTCAAGCTACCGGATGAGGAGAATGTCGTGATGTACGATGAGGTTCCGAGGAAGCGGAGAGGGCTCGAATTGCCAGTCTGTGCGAAGGAAAGTTTATATCTGCGTCCGGGCGACGCTGCGGTAGTCAAAATTGAGTATTGAAAGACCAACTTGCAGCGAGAAGTGGTCGGGGCCTGACGAAGAAAACGATGGGTGACAGAGATCCTGTTTGGAGTCCGGTCCTGGGCTACGGCGGTCCGAGTGGTCAACGTTTCGGATAGAAATATCTGGATCGACACTCGGACTGCACTTGGATTGTGGAGTACGGGCACTTCCCGAAGGAGCCAGGATTTGTCCGCCCAGGGAAGATCAGGAATAAGGAGTTGCAACGGCTTATTCTCGAGAGTACCGAGTCGTGTCAAGGCCGGATGCGTGCTGAGCGCCTGGAGCAGTTGATGCGACTTCGTGACCCTCCCGCGGTGCCGCGACCAGAGTACCAATAGCCTACCAAACTCCTCGTACGCCCAAAGTCTCAGGATACGGAAGTCAGGATGGTACATTTGCAGGAACGACCAGAGGTTGTAGAGGTTTTCCTCGCTGCGCGACGTGGAGCCACCTCAAAACCGGAGGCAAGTGGCTTACAGGTGAAAGACCCGACAGATGGTCCGGTGACGACATCCGCCGAAGGGACCGGAGGAGTAGACACTAGAGATGTTGGTACCCAAGTTGATTTCCCAAGCCCTTGTGGATATGGCGCTTCAGATCGACATAGCTGTACCTCTGACCAACCCGCCAAGCCTGGAGTCCGAGATGATGACCCAGAGCCGTCTACAACTGGGGCGATTGCAGGAAGTACAGAGGATTCAGAGCAATTCCGGAGCGCAGAGGACCTGAGGGGAGATCTAGCCACCTTTTCGAGAGCAAGAAATCCTGAATATCATTCGTCGCTAGACCTGGAGCATCTCGCCTCAGAAACGAACGACATTTCAGAGCTCGTTCCAGAGTTCGATTCGGAAGACGTACTTGAGGATATCCTTGAAAGCGCCTTGGTTGGTTTCTCAAATCTCATGGATGACGCCTCGGACCTCTCAGACACTCCTGTCCAAAGACTGGAACGAGAATACGAGCGTGTCATGCGAATGACAGTGGAAGAGTTAGATCTGGAACCAGCTGTAGATCTGCGAGAAGGGACGGAGCTCTTGGCTCAGGATCATCTGACTATGTTTCCTGAGTTAGAAGAATTGAGCTCGGAGTGTGACATCGACAAAGGCGACGTTGGCGTTCCAGGCGTCACGACCCCAGAGATGGAGGACAAGATGCGGAAGATCTTAAATTACCATCGTCGTATCTTTCTAGGTGATGGCAACGCAGCACCGGCCCCAGCTCGTGGAGTCGTTTGTGATTTGGATGTAGGTGATGCGACGCCGATAGTGCTGCGTGCTCGACAGTTCGCCTCCATATATCTGGTGAAGGTTTACGAACTGCTGAAGAAGCTCCTAGATACTGGACTCATTGAACATTCTGAATCGGAGTGGCCATCCCCGATCGTGATCATTTTGAAGAAGAATGGAGAGGATATCAGGATATGTGTTGATTATAGGCTGGTTAACCAGTCGATCAAGCTATCGCGATACCCTCTACCTCTGATTGACTACTTGCTGACTGACTTTAACGCTGCGGCATGGTTCATGAGTCTGGATATGGCGAGTGGTTTCTGGGTGATTCAGATGTCAGAGCGGGCGGAATTGATTTCGGCCTTTGTCTGCCCATTCGGACATTTCCAGTGGATCCGGATGCCTTTTGGACTCAAGAACGCGCTGCTAGTGTACCGGAGTGTGATCAACAACTGTCTCTGGGGATTCGTGTGGCTCCCACCTGAAGAGGAGGGTAAGGTCGACCGAGATGTCCTGGAATTTCTGGAGTTGACTGTCCCAG